TGGTCACTAACCGAGCGATATGGACCGTCATGCATTGCGCGAAAGGAAATGGAAATGGAGATGAACGAGAGCGCAGAAAAATTCCCGTTTGTTTTGTTTAATTTTATTTTACCCAGACAGTGAACGTCGCTAAAGTTGCAGCGCTCGGTTGTGATTTGGACAACACCACTTTATTTAAATTGCTTTTAGTCACTGGATCCTGAAGAAACGCTCTCTCATCTGGTATGCACAGCAAAATGACAATAAACCTGATTTAATTTGATTTCTTAGCAATAAACTGTTAATTTGATGTGTTTGTACGACGCTGTTGCAGCACAAATCGCAGCTAGCAGCGACGTAGTTAACAGCTCCAGTAGTGTCCGAAATGTGACTTTGCCGAGGTGCTCCCTATATATTGTGTGAGGGTTGTGGGATATGTTTGTGTTTTGTGGTTTTTTCTCTGCCTTCCTGTGTTTGTGTCTTGGTGGTTGTGTGTTTTCTCGGCAGGCTGGGCGGAGTCGAAGGGGAGAGGACTTTCTCGCGCTGGCAGGTGCTACTCATCAGCTCATCAGCGGAGCACCTGAAATACCAGCGTCTCACAGATCTCCAGCGCCAGATGATTCATCCTAGTGGTACAGCCAGGCCGCCTAGTTGCTATCCTCAGCGAAGCATTGTATCTAGGTGTAAGTATTTTCTAGTCTCGAGTAATTCGTGTGTTTTTGTTTTGCCTCCAGCGTTCCCTCTTCGACTCCAGCCTCCAGCGTCTCACGAGCCACACCAGCCATAACCCTCTCCGGCTTCACCACAGAGCCCAGTTCTTTTCCTACGAGCACCAACACTGGGAAAACCTTCACCGGGAAGAAGCACCTCTAGCACCGTCACCGGATTCCTCCACGCCTTCCTCCCCAGCACTACCTCGGTGGCACTTCCCCCTCCTCGGATCCCGGCACGGACAAACCTCCACCTGCACCCCTCTCGACTGACACTCCTGCGGCTGGTTCCTGTCCCTGGTGACCCCCACTCCCTCACCCTGATTAATAAAACCCTTTTTCCTTATAACCTGTTTCTCCCGCCTCCCCTTTTAGTTCGGGTCCGCCCGCACAGCCACTGTACACGGGCCGTCACATATTGATCACTATATAGGGAGTGAGTGGGTGATTTCGGACACGGTCCATGTTGTCAGGATTCAGCAGCCGAATGAGGTTTAGACACCACACCTGTGTCAAATCTATGAAAAATCAAAGCAGAAATAAAAAAGTAATATTGCAGAATGGCTGGTAAACCTCGAACAAAAGCTCGCCTAGAAATATGGAACTATGTGTGTCCTTTAGAGGAAAACACAGGCCTTACAAATCATAGCCACTGGCAAATATTTAGCTGACATATTGTAGATTCACATTGCCAGACCACATCTATCTCCACACAGCGTTCGTTCTGTTCCAGCATCGGACACACACTCTCTCACACACACACACACACCTCTGGCCATCTGTCTTGACCAATGATTGACAGCTAAACTAATTACAAGAATTTCCCAGCCAATACAAGATTAATTAGGAGTGGGAAGCTTCTTGTTGTAACATAGACAATTAGCCAGTGATTCCTCTTCACCTGTCATCATGCCCATATAAATCCATTTGACTTCAGCCAACTCAGTCCTGCCCTCGCGCACTCTGCTAATGATGGCCTCTGAGGGCGGGGGGGTAGGGGAGTAGCCCTTATCCCCTGGGAACACACAACTTGACTCAACTCTCCGAGGGCTTTTTTTTTTGCTCAATGAGCGCCGCGAGTCTGAGGTTTATCTCACGCAGCCACCTGGGCTCGACGAAAAGGTAAAGTGTAATTGACAGAAAAGGGAGAGACAAAGCAAAGGCTGGTAGCAAATGAGGAAGGGATTAATCACCCCAGATAACCCCGGCGCAACGCTTCAGTAATTCCAAAATGGTTCTGGTTTGTAAATGTGTGCGCAGGCGTATTTTTTTCGAGAGGTGCTGATATGAATTTTAGTAGGTGTCATGGTGTTGCTACATGGATATTTGGTACTAATGATTCCCTTACTCATTCCCTTACCTTTGACAGTTCCAAAAATTACACGTGTGGGCGGCTACTCAGTGTTTTCTGATAGTTTGTGTCTGGTGGAAGCAGCATAAACTATTTGATGAAGGTAAGGGGAGAAATTGCCTTCATCTTAAGCAAGTAAACAAACAAACAAAAAAACAAAAAACTTGTTTTTCTTCGCACAGTTTGCAGTCACAGTCATCCTTGGTGAAGTCTGACTGGTTAAATAAAGTCTTCCTGCCACAGAACATCTTCAAATCCAATGAAAGAAATTGGCTGAAAAGGTTTCCGAAATTACAAAATGTAAAATTTGTTTTGAATGGATCTCTCTGCTGCCTCGCTAGTCATCAGAACTACTGCAGTACGGCTCTTTATTCAATAAATCAACTCAAAGTCGATTGACTTTGACATCTATGAAAGGGCATGAAAAGTAAAAAAATAAAATAAATCTGCCAAACTTGTTTAATCACTTCTTTCAACCCCACCGAGTTAAATAAAGGTGCTACATTGAACAAAAAAAAAAGGTTCTTTGCCTTGATGCCACAGAGAAGACTCATTTTTAGTTCAATAAAGAACCTTTCAGAAGAGGTTCCTTAAAGATTCAGAACTCTATAAGGAACCCACTAAGGTGCCTTAAAGAAAAAAAAAAAAGGTTCCTTTAGTCACCATAATGATGATCCAAATCACTTTCGAAAAACAGGTTCTTCAAGATATGTTGTGTTTGTACCCACCAGGTTCTACTTTGGTAGCAAATGATGACTAAGCAAATGCAAAATGTAAAGGCAAATGTTAGAATTGGCAGCATTATTGGGTTCCAGTATAATACGTTTAATGTTTGGAGTTATGGACAGTGGGCCAGACAGAACAACATATTACAAGATGCTAATGTGAGATTTGGGAAGGTGTGATGGGCATTTTTTTCTGTTTCCTGATATTCCGTAGACCAGCTGATTAATTTTAATCAATAAATGAAGGAAATCATCTACAGAATAATCATTTCTGACAATAATTGTAAAACTGGCTTTGAAGAACCAGCGAGCCTTCTAAAGAGACATATAAGAACCAGTATTGTTCTGAGTGTATTTTGTTGAAAGCTTTTACCATTATTGTCCTATACATGTGCTAATCAGTGTCAGGGGAAGTTAGTTTGATCATCAATAAATGAATGTAATATTAGACAAATAGAATTAGGAATGTACTGAACGAGTTTTTTTCCCCTCCTATCCGAGTCGTTTAATATTTAAAATCTGCCAATATAATTTTCCAGGACAATACACACTTCCAGCATTGTTGATTATCAGTAGAACCTGTTGCACAACCAGGTGGAGCCTCTGACTGTTTAATACAACCAGAGGAGGGCAGTGTTTGAGTTGAGCTGGTAAAGGGGCAACATGACAAAAGCTTCTGTGAGACTCCATGACCTCAGACATGTCCCATCCATCCATCCATTATCTATACACCACTTAATCCTCACTAGGGTCACAGGGGGGCTGGAGTCTATCCCAGCTGACTCAGGGTGAAGGCAGGGGACACCCTGGACAGGTCACCAGTCTATCACAGGGCTACACTTAGAGACAGACAACCAAGCACACTCACGTTCACACCTACGGACAATTTAGAATCACCAATTAACCTCAACATGTTTTTGGACTGTGGGAGGAAGCTGGAGAACCTGGAGAGAACCCATGCTGCACGGGGAGAACATGGAGACTCCACGTAGAAAGATCCCTGGTGTCCTCACCGGGACGCGAACCAGCGACCTTCTTGCTGCGAGGCAACGATGCTAACCACCGAGGACTTGTATTAAATCAATTTTGGATCAATTAGCCGGTGTTTCTATATCCCAGTGGCATATGTCACAGCTGCTTTCATATTCAGGGCTTTACCAGCATTATCAGTGCATGACCAATAAAGAATATACAATCAATCAATGGTACCAATATGAAGAAAACTGCTCACATTTGCAATTCATGAGTGACAAACAAAGGATCAGGTTCAGGTCCTTGCCGATACCAATAACTTAAAATGGTCTTGATTGGCCCCGATCCCGATCTCAGGCAGGATTAGGCTTCGGACATCCCTAAATGCAATATTTGTTGTTTTCTAGAATGCAAATATAATTGGTGGCACAGCAGCTAGTGGAACAGAGGCTAACCCAGATGCTTTACGCTGTTACCACCACCACAATACATACATAAAGCATAGCTATCTAACCCCAAAATATAGAAGGCTCATTACCAGCTGCGTCCTTGTCTTCAAAAGCTTCCTATCTCACACTGTTGACAACTCGCTTCTTTTTTTTTTTTTTAGCTGCTAATCAAATATAACCCACAGAACACCAAAGCAGTCCTCTGGTTATTAGGAAGACGCCTGACAAGAGGGAGTGGGAGTAGGGAGACAACAAGGAGCCGGCATGAGTGTCATGGAGGTGCTGAAGCTGTCAAGCAACCATTTTAATCCAGTATAAAGTGGGAAAAGTGGCAAAGAGAGGGGGTGGACTAATGAAGAGAACTTTAGTGAGGAAACCGGAGAAGGAAGATACTGTGGTGGAAAAAAGAAGTGATTTGGTAGCGAGTGGGAGGATACAGTACAACAAAGAAAGGAAGTTTTTTTTTTTTCATCAGAATCTGGGTGAAGTCTTCAGGATGGCCTATTATATTAGACGAACTATCCCGGATACCTGGTGTGGAGATGTTTCACACTGATGTTCAAAGAAAGTCCGTCGCTTGTTAACAGTTTAGAAACTGATTAACCAAATGTTATGGTTATATTTCTGACAGACTGCATCAGATCAGACTGATAAGACACGTAAACGATGATGTAATAATGCAGTGGCTGTTAATTTCTGAGTCGCTCCCTGCTTGTGTTAGAACGGCATCTGGTTTTTATTTTGTTTTCCATTTTAAAATGATAAACCGAGGGACTTCTGATAACAATGAAATGTCACCGAAGCTGTTGCGAATATTTTGCCAGAATCTGACAATAATTATTTAATTCTTTAGCTATTAA